CGAGATTATGGATCTCTTTCTACTGCCCCACAGTAGGTGTTAGTACGTTTACTTGATTCACCAACAAATATTTGATTAATTTTCTTGGTAGATGATAAAACCTGTTTTTCTCATATGTTTTTGATAACCTTCATTCAACAGAAGGTAGACCTTCACCACATTTGAATGTCTCCAAAATCACCCCAAACTCATTTAAGAGGTATATTTTGGAAGCAGGGGTCTCCCTTCAGTTTGTTTGTTTCGTTTACGCCCATTCGAGAATTTTTCACTCATATTGAGAATCCAGCACTTACCGGTGAATGGGGCTGCAAAGTTAGATCTGTACTCGGTACATACGGCCTTTGAGCAGTGAGCAGTGAGGGTCTTTTCTCGTGCCAGTAAAAATGTGACACGGGACCTCGATTTATACGGTTTCATCCGAAGGACCGGTCTCCGCATCGCACAGTGGATTCGAACCCGTGACGTGAGGATCAACTTCTCTACTTGGCGACTCTAGAGCAAACACTCTAACACTGCAGCAAACGGACCACCCCCTCATTATGTATTCAATCCGTTTATACAAAACACATGCGCATGCCAGATCTCCGCCTGAACTGACAAACTCTCGACTAGACTGTGGTAACTAAAAACGTTGTTATGATTCTTTGATTACAAATGCGTCTTGTTTTCAGTCGCTCGTAATTGAAAGTATGTATCCTGATGGTATGAGAGGAATCTGTTGAAGGTTGCTCGAAGTAAGCTTCATGCCAGTCCTACTTGCTTGAAAAGCAGAAAGGTATCCGTTACAGGAGCTAAGGAGGAAGGATCTCATTATATCCAATGGTACAATATTTCTGATAAGGTTATTGCAAATTGATATATTCCTTGTATATTCATCATAATCATGACATTCTTCTTTTTTTTCTGTTGCTGAAAAAAAAACTGAATCAGGGGCTCGTTTCTCAAAAAGGCCTACGACCAGGCGTAAGCTTAGTCCGGACTAAATCAGTGACTAAACCCAAAAATCGGACTAAGTAGCGTTTCACAAAAAGGCGCAGACTTAGTCGAGACTAAAGTTAAGCTTAAATCTAGGCCTGCTCATGAGTAGGCGTAAGTTCTTAGTCTGTTCACAACTTGAAAAAAGTGGCAAGTGTTTTGATCATAAAGAGATAAAAGAATAATTATTTTGTACGTATACGATATAATACCTATTCATGTACACATATGATATGCGAAAAATCGTGAAATGTACAATTATTATGTAGGTAAATAAAAAGGTAGTAAAAATCCAGCGAGGATGCAGACTTTTCCGAAAAAAGGTTGATGAGCTAGAAATTTGTAAGAATTGTGAAACTGGGTAAGCTTAAGATATTAAGAATTGCCCGCGTAGTATAGGGGAGGGGGCCTGCCTCCCCCTGCTTTCTCCGGTAATGGTGTTTTCTATTAAAAATTAAGTTGCAATTTTGGCTGACCTACACTGACCTACACTTTCAGTATTTGTTTTCTTGTACTGTCAAAGTTTGCTGAATATTTTGGTTACACAATTACCTACCCCCTTCCCCATCTCCCTTACACACTGGGTCCCTGATAAATTTTATTTTTAAAATGGATAATGTTTTTGGAAGAAAAACAACTCTTCAAACAATATACATTCAATATATTTTCGATAATAAGAATTATTATATAGTCTATAAATAGTCCCTATATATTCTATGCAAACGCAAACAGTTCATAATACTACATATTCACTGGATTTGAAGCCGTATTCACCGGAGGGTCAGTGCACGTGCAGCGGCATTGTGACGTCACAATCATTACCTAACACAACGTTGAAAACAATGGTTGCAACGGCCGGAGCTAGCTGTATGTCTGAGCAGGAAAATTGTTGGGCAAGTCTATCGCAGGATTATTTTCCAAACATTTCGATGTCTTACACACAGCGAAAGGAAAACACGGAAGTTAAAAGTTGTATTTTGGACATTTTTTTAAATTAATTATGCCATCAATTAAGTTAATGCACCCTTTACCTTAATTTCCCTTTTAACTAAATATAAAATTTATAGAACAGAAAAATATGAATTTTTAAAATGTTCCAGTAATTAATTACCGGTATCTTGTCCAAAATACTTTTTTTTTTCCTATTTCAAAGGACTAACTGTCATGGCGTATAAGATGTGCAGATGGATCTATCATTTTTTAAAAACAGGTACTTGTTTTTATTTTATTTACAATCTGTCGTACTTTTCTCAGACGAATTTTGTTTGAGAGTGTCTTTTGATCGATTTATGAACAGATAAACACTTTATATAACATACATTTGAAAAGAAAGTGGTCAATAACGTGTTAAAATGTTTTTATTGTAAATGAAAAACATATTTTCAAATTTGTTTTCATTTAATGCATCATACTCATAAAACATATCAAGAAGAAGAAATTTTGCTTATCTAAAAATATTTATGAATATGAAAATCATGAATTGTAATATCTTTAAATCTAGATAAAATTTTCAAGAAACATTCTGCATCTATAAAAGAAATATTATATGATCATATTCTTAATAGAAATTGAAACGGAATTACTAGATTAAAAGAAAAAGATGGTGATGTCGAAATTAATATCTTTCCCGATCTAAATAAATCATCTCCCGACTGGAAATATATTAAATGAAAATATTTCAGAAATTTATAAAAATACTAGATTGCTTGCCTGTAATACGAATTACAAGAAATTGATTAAAAACTAATTAAGCTTTTGAAAACCTTTATTGAGAATGTTGTATATAAGTATTTTTACATGGATTGTGTAAATTATCATATCGATATCAATGGTATACGTTATGTCCAAAGTGTAATACATGTATTATAATACATGTATCAGCTTGAATGCTAAGAAATCTAATTCAGTTAGAACTGATTATTCTGTTTTGAAATTATAAATTCAATACAGCTGCTAAATTTTCAAAAATCTCTTATCCATATTCTAATAATATATAATTTCTTAATTGTTAAATTTTCCACAGGTCCGTAGAACGCGATGGGACCAGGGAGCCCGGTCCTCCACTTTTTCTGAGTGTAGTTGTAGTATATTGCTATATTACATTTTCCTTCAGACGCTGCCCCCCCCCCCTTTGTCGCTGTAAGATCTAGCACTGGCAAATTCCATAATTGCATGACTTGGACAGTTAATTAGGTTTTGACTTGGACAGTTATTGATTTTTTTTGTCACATTAATTTGGGAAGTTGCCCCCACCCCCGCAACCCTCCACTTTTTGGTAGTTTAGGGGTTTTTTTTTGGCTTGTCAGATTTTTTTTTTTTTGGGGGGGGGGGGGTCACTTTCGACACCGTTGCTACGAACCTGTTCCAGGCCTTTGCCACTATCGTATTTGTATTTATTTTAATGTAAAAAAAATAAGTGAAAAGAAAATATGGTTTATTTTCAAAGGAAAATTACTTCAGTAAAATTCTTCATGCTTAATGTATTTCATACTATTTCATACTCATTTCATTGAATAATATGCTTCAAACAATATACATTTAACATATTTTCGATAATGAGAAATCTTCGGTGCCATTGACCAAGTTAATGCAGCTTTTATATTGATTTTCCTCTTCAATTAAATATTAATGAACAGAAAAAAGTTAATTTGTAAACTGTTACAGTAATTAAAATATCCTGTCCACAAAACTGTTTTTTTTTTCTATTTCAGAGGAGTACCTGACATGGCGTAAGATGTGTAAATGGTCTATCATTTTTTAATACGTACTTGTTTTGTATTAATACAATGTATCGTACTTTTCTCAGACCAATTTTTCTATGAAAACGAGTCTTTTTTATAATCAGTTTATGAACAGAAAAACACTATACATTTGAGAAGTGGTTCTTTCAATATCAAAAATAGCTATTTTCAAAAAAAAAAAAAAAAAAAAAAAAAAAGATTAAATAAAAGAAATATAGATATTTAAACTTAGTCTATTTTGAAATGTTATTTTATCCTCGAAAGCTTTTCATTACATTATATTTATTTTTTGTATTTTTTCTGATCTAGAGAAAGTGCAAAACAATTTTTTTTTCTGTAACTATATTTATGAAAATCATGATAAGTTAATATTTTTAAATCTATGGATAAAATCTTCAAGAAAGATTTTGCATATATCATAGAAATAGGATCATATTCTAAAGAGAAATTGAAACGGAATTGCTAGATCAAAGAAAAGTGGTACTGGTCATGTTGAAATTTGAACCTTTCCCGATCTAAATAGATCTGATCCCGACTGGACATATATTGAATGGAAATATATAAGAATTTCATAAAAGTACTAGATCGCGTGGCTGTAATATGGTTTACAAAGAAATTGATTCAGAACTAATTAAGTTTTTGCAAACCTTTATTGAGAATTGTGCTAATGGAAATTCTGCATGGACTGTGTAAATTATCACATTGATATCAATGTAACATATAAAAAGTTTAATAAAAGTATTATTAATAATTATAATTATTAATAAATTGATTAATAATTATCAACTTGAATGCCAATATGTCTAATCCAATTAGAATTGATTATTCTATTATGAAATTATGAATTCAATACAACTGATTTATTTCAAAGATATCTTATCCATATATAATCAATAATATGTTTATAATTGTTCATTTTTCATCCCTTTGCTACTACTTTAAGTGTACTTATTTTAATGAACAACAATAAGTGAAAAATAATTTGATTAATATTCAAAGGAAAGATACTTAAAATTATCCATGCTTAATTCATTTCAATTTTTCCACCAGTACATGTATGCTATGTACATCGTTTGAGTTTAGATGTTTATCGAAATATCCCAATCATGTACATGTATATGTTCATCTTGTAAATTTGTACCTGCATGTATATCTTTTTTCTTTAATTTGTACATGCAAGTATATCTCAGCATACAAAAATAGTTATTGAATTTAATGCTTTGACCTAGAAAATACAAATGAAACGTAATATATCTATTTGATCAACAATGCAACTTTCTCATTCTAACAAAGAGTAGAATTGTTCATTTCTAAATTTCCTTTTTGGTCTTTGGATGCCACTGCTAGAGGAACATCAGAGTCTTCATATACACTGTTTTCTTTTTTCCGACTTTTACGTAGGCGAAGTCCACTGTTTTCTGCGTACCATCTTTTTACTTCATCCAGAGTCTGAGGTAAATCCATTCCATGTGTTTCCGGTAAATACAAAGCAATAATTGTGACAATAAAACACATCAGAGCAAAAATGGTTCCCGGGGCCCAAGGTACAGCTCGTGCCTTAAAATGTATGAAGAAGTATAAAATATAAATCAAAGTCTATTCCACATGCATGATACATCTGTAAAGACAACATGATACTCTGAATCAGTGCTGTGACAATGACGTAAAATTACCAAAGTTCCAGCAAAAGGCGATATCATGGCACCAATCTTAGAGAATGTTGAACAAATCCCGATACCGACATTCCTGGAAAATAAAGAATAGAAAAATATATGTATGTTAGGAATAATGTTCTAGGTGAATTTGATTAAAAACCCACCTTAGATTTGTGGGAAACAGTTCAGGAGTAAGGAGAAATAGCACACTAAATGACCCAGTCACAGACATCTTCCCGATAAAGGTCGCCAAAACGGATAGTAATATGAGCGTTCCATCTCCATCTGATTTCAAAGTAAGCAAACATGAAATAAAATAACTTTGTTGAGCGATGGAAGCATAAAGAATTGAAACAATAATAATTAAGTATTACCTGAAAAGTATTTCAACAGGGTGGCAAAAGCCAGTGAAGTTCCAGCTAAAGATTGGAAAAAAATTGTTGTAGTTCTTCTCCCAAACCTACAAGTTTAGACAACAGAGCACCGGGTACTGCTGTTAAGCCACTGTTTGGTGACAATCAATATTCACCAGTTTTCAAAAACAAATATTATCACAAAAGTAGATAGTAAATGTGTTTTATATAGAATATAAGATGTGATAATAATGGTTAGGAAGAAAAATGTAAACAAATTGAAGGAAAAGTAATCTAATATAATTTTAGGAAAGCTTAAGCTTGTCACGAGAATGAACGTAGAATTATGTCAGAATCATCAATGCAATAAAACCTATTTTAGATCCTGCAATATTTAGTCTTACCGGCGTAGCATGCTGTATTCCAGAATAACTGAAATGTATTCTACACAGGACATGAAGAAAAAGTTAAGGAAACGATTTCCCGCCAACGACGTAGCTGTGAGGATCAACCCATAGTATGTCAGTGTGTTAGTCACCCTAAAAAGTAGATTTTATATTAAATCGGTTAAGGGTTATTACCTTCCCGAAAAGAATTTTCAATTTCATCGATATTTCACCAGATATACGTACATGTATAATTGACTTGAGTAAATATTTGACATTACCATGTGAAACACATGAGGAGGGAAATGACGAAGACAGATTTGTTTCTAAGGATGGTAATGATGGAGTATTTTTCAACAACATGGAGCTGTTGCTGTTCGGCCAGCATTTTGTCTGTTTCTTCTTTTTCTTTATTCCTTAATGCCATTCTCTTTTTCACATTCTCCCTGAGATTCTCATAATCAAGTTTGTTCCATTTGGCAACCTTTCGTACTATTCGTTCCGCTTCTTTCTCTTTCCTGTTGACTACGAGCCATCGTAATGATTCGTCTTGAATCCTAGATACGATAGACACTTTTGTTTTGTTTAGCTGGTTCGTATGTTAGTTAGTTTTTTTAGTTTTGGTGTAAGAAATAACAAGGACAGTAAAATGAAATTTAAATTCATAATAGAAATCGTTTGGCGTCTAAAATATGTAAATATTTATAGGAGGGAAAAGAAAGTGAATCGAAGGGAAAAGTAAAGGTACATGTATAAGGACTGGTGCTTGGTCAGAAATTATATTATACCTACCAATATTGGAACAAGCTCATAAAGGAAAAACAGGTAAGTGTAATTTGAAGATATCTCCAGGAGTAGTTCTGCAGTAGATAAGCAATCGCAGTCATGATAATCAGACCTGTGCTCCAAGTAAGGAGGCCTATCACTGAAGAGTAAAAGCGACCCTGCTCTGGAAGGAGTTCCACGAATAAGACAACACCGGGCATGACCACTCCCTGAGAGAGAAAGCAAATCATAGGAGATCGTCGCAAGAGTAAGGACAAGTTTAAGAAGAAGCTTTCCAAACCAGACTTAGACTTAATGACAACCTGTTGAAAAACGCCAAGAACAAATTTCATGGCTGCCAGTGTTGCATAATTTGACGCAAAGGCCATGGAAATTCCAAATATAAAGGTCAAAAGGTTTGAGCCAAGATGGACGGTCTTTCTTCCTACTCTGTCGCTGAGGGATGAGGCAAAGGCTGCTCCTACCAGTTGTCCCGCCATCATTAATGTCTGCAGAAGTTCCGCTAAATGTGCTCGGTCGCAGATAAGATCAAACTGATGTAAAATATATCTTTGAGATGTTAAATTAGTGTAGAATAACAATATTCAGTTATCGGTAGCATGTTTATTAATTGAACATTTATCAAAAAGTAAGAGAAGCATGAATTTCATTTATATTGATTTCTCCAATTTGAATTACATGTAAAGCTTCACTTTTGCAGAATTCAAGAAGGAGTTCTATAGAGGACTTTGTAAATCCGGTAAAACTGACAAAATAAACTAGATGCTGTTACAAGACAGTAATACCCGCACGTAGGTGTTTGCCTCAGAATGTACTCATCTTCATATTTGGGTAAATAAAGGGGCCCCCAATCGTCCCAGAGGGAAAATCGAAATTACGAATCATAAATTCGCATCTACAGGACACGCCCAGACATTCCAGAATATAATTGGACTACTATGGAAAATGTGAGAGTAGTTCAGGGAACAAAGTTTTGTAACAAAAAAGAGACATTTTTGACCCCCCATTTAGCCCCTTGGGTGAAAAAATTCTGAAACCTCATTGCAATTCTACAGGATACCACCAAAATCACCATCGAAAAGATAATTTGGCTACTACAAAAAATGTAAGAGGAGTTAAGGGAATAAGGTTTTTGTAGAAAAATTTCTTTCTCGACCCCCAATCATCCCCTAAGGTGAAAACTCTAAATTCGGAAACCTTATTGCATATTTACAGGACACTCCCAATCATATTTCAAAATGGAAATAGGCTACTGCGGAGTTCTGGCAACCAAATTTCTGTAGAAAACCTACACTTTTTGATCCCCCAATCGCTCAAGGTGAAAATTGAAATTCTAATTCCTTATTGTATATCTACTGGACACTCCCAATCATGTTCCAAAATATGAATGGGCTACTGCGAAAAATGTAAGAGGTGTTCAAAGAACGAGTTTGGGTAGAAACAACGATGGCTTTGACTCCCATTTGGTCCCTAGGGTGACAATGAAAACTCCAAAAACCTTATTGCAAATCTGCAGTACCCTCCCTATCATGTTCCAAAAGATGAGTTGACTACTACAAAAACTGTAAGAGGAGTTCAGGGAACCAGGTAATTTTTTGACCCCCAATTGCGAACATGGTGAAAATCGAAATTCCGAAACATTATCTACAGGACACTCTCAATCATACTCCAAAATATTAGTATATGGGTTGTTGCGAAAAATGTAAGAGGAGTTCAGGGAACCAGATTTGTAGAAAAACCAGATTTTTGACCCGCATTTAGCACCCAGAATAAAATTGAAAGTTCCAAACCTTCATGCACATGTTCAGGGCGCCATCAATCATATTTCAAAAGATGAGTTGGCTATTGTTTAAAATCCAAGAGTATTTTGAGGAAGCAGAAAGAGTGAAAGATGGATGGAAGTACGGACCAGGATAACAATTTACCGGAGCTTTCTTTAGAAAGTGCGGGTATAATGAAAAAAAATTGTTTTTCCAACGTATCAATTTCATGAATTCTATAATTTTCGAGGTTTCTTTCGAAAAATAAGCCAATAAAGATTTTATGAGCAGTGATTGTCGAGTAGAACTCAGATTAAGAGGATTTTGTTTTAATATTTGTAACGTAGTCCTGCCTGGCTACCAGTAAGAGTTTACAAGAGAAAAATTCGATTCAACCCATAGGCCCCGTCTTTTGTTTAGTCAAAGTGTTCTTTCTTAATGAAAAAGGTGAAGACAACGAACACTGATATAAAAAAATTGGAATGTACAATTAATCAGAACTTCATCCGAAATATTTACAGAACATACTATTCCGTTAAATCTACCTCTGTGACAATAGTGCTGTCTTTTCCTAACGTGTACTGATACCCGTTTGGACACTTTGCTGTTGCCATTAGTTTTGGATGCTGTATATCTGAGTCATTGTGATATGTTTGGACGTAACATTTTTCGTATGTCATGTACATAGAACTATTTGTAAGAGATTGGTTGTCATTCTCCGACGCTGCACATTGGAAGCCTGGTCTGTAGGCTGAAAATCGACATAAAAGTAAAATCATTTATAGCATTCTGGTAGCCAAAGAAAGTATACACGCCATTTTATATTTAATTTAACAGAAAGATTTGTCAGAAAATTTATTGTAAGGTTGATAATTACTGAAATTATTTTGATAAAGATTTCAATGAATAAAATTGCAGCACATTCATTATTACCAAATCATTAATTTTTTGGATCAAAGATTTGATTTGCTACCTAGTGAATAAAAACTATATTTATTATTAATCAAAAACCCCAAAGCAAATATATTCATAAAGCCATCTTTAGCACTTTAAGTGTTCCTGACTAAAACTCTGCACTTTTCTTGTGCCCTTGTCTTGTTTGCCTTTTGTTTAACGTCCCTTCGAGAATTTTTCACTCATATTGAGACACCGCCACTTACCGGTGGCGGAATACAAATAAAAGACCCTTAGTCGGCACTTACGACCTTTGTGCAGTGAGGAGGGATCTTTTCCTTGCCAGCAGCTACTGCGACACGGGACCTCGGTCTATACGGTCTCAGTCATGGACCGAAGGACCGGTGCCCACGTCCCACGGTGGGATTCGAACCTGCGACGTAAGGATCAACTCCTTACTCCGGTACTCTAGAACAAACGCTCTAACCACTGCGCCAAGCGGGCGACCCCTTGTCTTGTAAAAAAAAAGAGCTAAATCGTGATATCTCTGACAACGAACCCCTTTTTAAACTTGCGTAAACACCTATGGACTCTACATGACAGGATTATGATAACTGAAGTTGACCTCTACTTAAAATCCTGCTGCAGCCTTATGATCATACCAAGATTTGTGCCAAGAATGAGCTCCTGTTTATTCCTGTTTGAAATTTACAGATTGGACAGGACGTGTGACTAATAGACAGATGGACGAAAATGGTAATACCTGCTAACTGTATTTCAAAATAAATTCACATGAAAATTTCCTTTTAGGATAAATCCTTACAGCTTTCAATTGCTATTTGCATTATTAAAACAACTGATATAGAATAATAACATTTACTTATAATTGTGCTGTATTTTTCAATAAAAATGTACTATAAATTTTGAACATCGAGAAGTTATAAACATTTTGAACTAAAGCAGGTCGCAGTGATTTACATTCAATATTCTTGAATACAGATAAAAGATTCGATTAATTGATTATTGTTTAACGCCAAGTAGGTAATATTTCAGCCTTATTTCGGCGATAAAGGATACGAAGAAGTAAATTGAAATACCTACGCTGGTTCGATATATCCCACTAAACTCAAAATAAAAAAAACAACACAGAATCTGACAAATCTTTTTCATATTTTAATTAGGGATGTCAAAATATTTATTTTCTGTAGTCGAATATTCGATTGCATTATTCGAACGATAGTCGAATATATTCGAAACTTTTTCTTAAACTAAAATTTTATTTCAAACTTCACCGGTACATGACATATTTAACCCGAAGTCCCCTTTTCTTAAATTTATTAAAAAGTAACATCAAATGTTACACACAGATGTTTACATGGACCTAAAATGTATGATTTCCCAGTCAATCATGTTCATAAATCGATCCGTAATGTCGTGTTTTTTTAGGAAGCATAAGAAATGACAGTAATATATATATATTTTTAAAGCTTATTAAAATGATGGGGGGGGGGGGGGGGCACACGGTAAATTTGTTATAATGTTGTATTGTTAAATATTTGAATATACCTTTTGTACCAACTGTCAAAATGTCTTTAATACATAAAAGAATATTAATTTTATAATAATTATCTTAGTGTCAAAACATGTCACAGCTATAATGGGTACATGGTATGAGATCAAGTCCAATTAATAATTTTACAAAGAAAGCGCAGTGTAACGAGATAATTTTATTACAAAAACAACACATTAATTGACAAATAATACTCGCGGAAGTGAAACATTTCTAATTACTGTACTTTCTACATATAAAACCAGCAGTTTTTAATGAGGAAAATTATCTTATTGACTGTGTCTGAGGAAAGACGGCCGGTTTCTCAATTTTAGGATGAGAATTCTCTCTTTATCACTCTTTTATTGAAATATATTCGAATGCCGTTTCATTATTCGATCGTCGGTCCATTCGACTGATGGTCGAATAGTCGACTATTCGTTGACATCCCTAATTTTAATGTTTTATTTAAGAAAAACATTGATGGCAAATTGACAACTTAGTTTAATGATAAACGTGAAAACTTCAAATTTTCTATCGTGGATTTTCCTTATTTACGTAGAAATATAACATTATCTCCTGCATTTAAGTTTATGTCTTCCTGTTGATCCGGAAGGGCAAACTCTGACTATGATCAATTTTTAAACCGAGACAAGCTATCCTTACGAATAAGTTGATGTCACAAGGATTTCAACAACCCCGTTTAGTTTATTGCAAATTCAACGTAAATTGACATCGTTTGTAACTAAGATCTAGGATTGGGCCTTGTTTGATTCTATTTGCTAGTTCATTCCTTTTATACTGAATTTGACTACGGAGTACTCCATATTCTTGATTAATACATAGTGCTAACGGCGGTGTGAAAGGTCGATAGAAGATTTTACACCTCCATGGCGCCTAATCCCACCTCTGTTTTCAGAGGTCCGTGTTGGCTCTTCTCATAATTTGTATTGTTTAAATGCACTTTTTAGAATGATCACTGTTCGTTATCTTTGTATTTCATGTAAAAAAAAATGGTTGTAAAGTCTCAATAAATAAGAAACAAATTACATTTAGATCCCTCAAAAAATCCTTCATCCGCAACTTGACGGAACCCGAGAATCAACACAACCACTGAATGTGATATGAAATGGTTGACAATCACAGTTCTAATCACATCAAAGACTAATCCCCCATTTGTATGTGCGGTCTACAACTGTTTCTAACAGAAAGGATACACATTATAATATCTTACCAATGAAAACTATATTCAAAAGCTGAAAACTTCCTTGCAATG